CTAGAAGGCCTGTTACGAAAAACAGTTCCCAGCACCCCACCCTCTACTTCCTGCTCCCCCGAGGCAACCACTTTCAACCTATTTTTTTCATTTTGTTTTCCACCTCTCTCTCTCTAACTTATATTGCCACTTCTTGATTTTTTTGGAGTATTATCCACTGATTTTCCACTTAGGAAGATGAAGTTTTAGCTTTCCTGACCACCGCAACTTGTTCCCTCCTTTCCCCATGTAAACACACAGTTTCCGTCTTCTCAATAGTCACAGCATCATTTTAATTAGACTAATATAAATAGGCTTACATTCCAATGTCTGTGTTAATTCTAATCACAACTCAGTTATAATGTTTATCATAAGTTTTCTTTTACTACATGTATATTGCTTTTCTTTGGGGTTACCAACGGCCCTGTTTTTTTCTTAATGAGTTTAGCTTTTATAAAGTAATTACTAATTCAGACCCAAACTCATGTGTAGTTGTATACATTTATCAATTTGTTAACATACATTAGTCATTCTTCTGGTTTCATCTTTGTGAAGAAGTCTTTCTGGAATCTTCCAACTGGCTAATCTGGGCTGGCTGCTGCTTTCTCTGCTAATAGCTCTGCAATAGCCTTCAGATGTCCCTACATTATCATTCTGGGCAATCTTTTCATCGTGTTGTGGACTGTCTATTCCTAGTTCTTATTCATTCCTCTTCCTTGGTTTATGCCCTCATTTTTGTGGAGTACCTCCTCCAGTAGATTCTTAGAATGGGTAAATGGAAATAATGTTTTTGATTGTTTAAATGTTTGAAAGTAGTTTACCCTCAAATTTAAATATTAGTTTAGCTGAATGTTGAATCTAGGTTGGAAATAATTTTTTTCTCAAAACTCTTAAGTTATTGTTCCATTGTCTTACTTTTGGTGTTGCTACTAAGAAGTCTGTAGTTATACTAATTCCTGAATCTTTGTTGGAAATCTTTCTTTTTCCTTAGCTCTACTAGTCTCTAAGATTCTTTTGTTCCTGGAGTTCTAAACTTTTTCAATGCTTTCTAAACTTAAGATTTGTTTTTATTTGTATGGGACATTCTATGGACTTTTCTAATCCAAGACTCAGGTCTTTTATTAGTGGAAACATTTCAGAATTGTATTTTTGCTTGTTTCTTTTCCTTTATTCTCTCTGGAACTCCTATTTTTAAAATTTAGAACCTCCTGGGTCAGTGCCCTAATATTCTTATATTTTTTTTCTCTTCTATTTCAGTTTTATATTATATTTTCAGGGGAGATTTCCTCAACTTTATCTTACAACTTTTCTATTGAGTTTTACATTTTAGATCTCATATTTTAATTTCTAATAGCTCTTAAATTGTTCTCTGAATGAATTATACATTTTTCCTGACATTTTCTTGTCCTGCATAGCCTTGTTTTATGTTTCTATCAGATGCTCTCTGTAAGTGTGAAATAAAGAGCTAAGAGGAAATTCTGTGTTTGAATGGATCCTGTTAATACTTTGGTCCACTCTAAAGTGAATTGGCTATTTCCTTGGAGAACCCCTAAGCTGAGTATATTTATTGTTTATGTGTGTGTGCCTTTTGCCTAGGGAAAGCCTTTCCTGCCTGGAGGCTTATATGTACTGGTACTCTGGGGGAGGCTTGGGGTTTTCAAATTTAGCTTTTAAATAGATTCATCACCCCCTTTCCAGTACGGTAGTCCCATACTGGAATGTGCCTGATCTCTCTCATAATAATTCTGAGATTATTTTACACTTTTGAGAGAATTAAACCACCAGCCTTCAGCTAATGTAGGGAGGGTCTCATTTCCAGTTCCTGAGCTTCTGAAGAGTTTTATAATCTAAATCAAGTTGCTTCTTTGCTCTTTACCAACTACTGATTTACATTTCAGCTTTTGTTGGCTGTTTCTGTTGGGGGCCTAATATAGCCCTACATGAACCCTTCCCCCCCTTCTTCCTCCTCCTCCTGAAACAGAACACAAAGGATCTAGTTAGTTCCACCCACCAAAGAAATTGCTCTAATGGACCCTAATTCCCCAAAGCCCTCTGGACAAGCTATTTCAATTTGCCACCCTGCTGGGCCCCATAAAAAGGGGTCTCTAATTACCCCTGAGCGCAGCTGCCATATTTGCCCTGCCCAGGCAGGTTGTTTGTCCCCTTTCTTTTTTTTTTTTTTTTTTTCTTTTTTTGTTTGTCCCCTTTCAATAAACTTGGCCTGAACATCTCTACTCCAGCCTCATCTCTGGGACACCACGGCTCACACCTTTCAGTTACCACTTGTTACCTGTTTTCCAAGTAACAAAATTTTGTTTCTATTGTCTTCTCTCTTGTTTTCTTACTCTTTAAGGGTTTATTTTTACTCTTATTGTCCTTGCAGTGGAGTTTTAGAAGGAATCAGCACTAAGTGCTTGCACTAAGGTGCCATCTTTAAGCTAAAGGTCTGTTTGGCTCAGACAGAATCACACTTTGGAAGGGATCCCAAGGGAACACATAGTAAACTCTTTAGAAAGCAAAATATGTTTGTAGATGATGTGGCTGAAACACCAGGAAGCTGAGTATCTTGCCCAAGGACATACAAAGGCATACAGACAGATATTGTGATATTTAATGCACCTTAAATAATTATCCCTCAAAGGCTGTAGAGTTGATTTGTAATTTAGGACCATTTGAGTTATAGCTAAATCATTTTTTGTATTACCTTTAAATCTGTATCCTCTTCTATTGAGCAGATGAGTTCTTCACATTATAGTATTAGGTGGTAAACCACAGTCATGTACCCAATAATGATGTTTTGGTCAATGGTGACTGCATATATGACAGTGGTCCCATAAGATAATAATGGAGCTAAACAAATTTCTAGTGACACTGTTGCTGTCATAATGTCAACACTGTTGCTGACATAACGTCCTAGAGCAACACATTACATATTTGTGGTGATACAAACCTACTTTGCTATCAGTCATGTATAAGTATAGCACATATAATTATGTACAGTAAATAATGCTTAATAAGTAGTGTTACTGGTTTATGTATTTATTATATTGCACTTTTTACTGCTATTTTAGAGCATTTTCCATCTACTTATAAAAAAAGAGTTAATTGTATGGCAGTGCCTGTGGCTCAGTGGGTAGGGCGCCAGCTCCAAGCACCAAGGGTGGCAGGTTCCAGCCTGGCCCAGGACAAACTGCCAAAAAAAA